AGTGAGCCATCTGCTCACAAACTCCTGTTTGTCTTTATGCTAATGTTTCTTTTGTTTTTCCATCTCAAGCTGTATATTTTAGGTGATCATCATGTTGCTGAGTTATCAAGCTCTTTCCTCTCTTAATGGAAGAGAAAACCTCGAATCTAAATCTGCTTTTTAAGGCAGACTAAACAGCCTTCAAGTGTTCCCTTGGTTGCAATAAAATCATAAGTGCTTCCGTCTCACATTCTCAGTGTAAGGCTATTCTGTATAAAGTGTTTATTTTTCACTTTTATTTTATATCCTAGTTTTTTTCTAGTCCATGATGCATTATGATGCAATTGCACCTGAAAATACTTCTGCACAATTTCACCCCATAGGGGGTAAAATTAGAGTCAAGTTGTTTATTGTGTTTTGAGATATGAAAAGAAAGAGAAAAGGATGGAGAAGGATAAATTCTGTTAGCTGTTTTTTTTTTTTTTTATCAGAAATTAATTCAGTTTTGTGTCCTCACAGACGAATCACCCGAATGGGGAAAAAAAATAAAGAATCTTCCCACACCGTCATGATTTTAGGCAGAGATCTGATCCATATAGAAAACACTTTAGGAGACGGTTCAAGAAGTTTATTTTTTTAAATCAGAGAGACTATTCTGGAAAGGAACTATCTAGGACCAGATCTCTGGTAAACAGCAAAGGTTATTTATCTTGTAGATGAGAGAAAAGGTAATAGATTTGATCCCTTACTGGTGGAAAGGAGAATGTTTACTTCGAGGAGATGAGCAGGATCCTTGGAGGAGAAACAGGTTCCTGAAAGCTGGTGGCAAAATGTCTTTTCTCCAGGAGAAATTCAGGTTTTCTGTAGCTGAGCAGGTGAGGTGAAGGAGGCTGAGCAGGCTTCAATCTGCGCAGATACTTCGATGGAAGATCATAGGCTTGGAGAAAAGGAGAACTATCTTAGACTATCTTAGAATCCACCTGGGAAATCAGGACGGAGGAATAATTAGTCACGTTTCGGCGAAACGTAGGACACTAGAGGGTGGCTGGGTCATACAACAAGGGTTAACACTCTAGAGTTGAAGGGCTCGCAGTGAGCTTCTTATAAGCCTCTCTGTTAATGAGCATAGATGAGAAACAGCTGCGCTCTTCCACCAGCCTGCTCCAGAAAGCACCTGTAGGAAAATATTAGAAGGGGGCCCCAAGAGAGAGCCAGACTCCAGGATCCTGACACACACAGTATTTCCAAATAAAGCAATATGATGATACTTCTCTTTCTTCATCTGATCATTGTTTTCATTATCGACTCTTTGTTTAGAATTTGCAGCACGTAGTCAACCTTAGTGACACACATCTGCAGTCCTAAACGACCATACTGGTCATCTACAGATATAAAAAGTTATTTCAGCTTTGAATTAAGCATTAGCATTACATGGTTCCCAGAACATTTGGAAACAGGCCCACAGTATTACAGATCCACAACCATGCTGCAATGTGGGCATGACTGTGCTTTTTCATGTGTCTCCTTTCGTTTATATCAATCCCAACTAATAATAATAATAATAATAATAATAATACATTTCATTTATACTGCACTTTCCATGAAAAGATCTCAGAGTACTACAGGTAAAAAAAGAGAAAAGCATGAAAAAGCCATTTTTAGAAGACAGAAAAGCATCTAAAGGCGACCAAAATCTTTGCTAAAAAAAATGTTTTGAGGCCTTTTTTTAAAAACACTCAGTGGACTGAGATGTCATCAAGGTGTCAGGGAGGGCATCCCACAGATGTGGGGCAGCAGGACAAATTATCCCATTGTCCTGAGTCTGGTTCTGGGAATATGGAGGTTTGAATGAGTGGAGCGAAGGGAGCAGGTTGTGTTCTGTGGGTTGATAAGTTTGTTGCCGTTAAAATCTCAGCGACGGTTAGTAAACTCTTTCTGTTTAGTTTTGTTAAAGTAGGACAGAGGACATTTCTAGACAACTTTCTCAAACAATCAGATGAAACATCAATACCATCCATTGGTCGATATGAAGACTTCCTGTCTAATTTATTCAGACGTTCAAAATATGACTCCTTCTGCCGTTCTTACCTGTCCACCACAAATATTCAGTGGGAGGGAAACCAAAAAAAAAAAATCATCTAGACTTTCCAGAACTAAGATCAATTTAGAGCATTAAATAGAAATATGACCTCATACGATAAAAAAAAATTTAAACATTTTTGGGAATGGACTGGTTACTTTGCTAAAAGCCTCTATTTTGCATATTTTACTCCCGCTGAATATATAAATATTTAAAAGCTATATTATTAAAATAATCTGTAAACTTAACCGCTGCAGAAAAATATTTATTTATTTTAGAGCTCTTCGCACATGAAGTGTCAATAAGTGTGGAAGTCAATTTGTAAATAACTGTAACTAGATAGAAGTTTTTTGCTTACTTACCTTTTGGAGCCTAAAACACCTTGAATTGATCAGAAAGTCCCTAATATGTGAACATATCAGCAGCTTTTCAGGAGGTTTCTAGCAAACATAAGATCCTTTTTCATTCAGTTGGTTGATGAGTCTTCAGTCGTTGAAAGTCTGGTCAGCATTCAGGGACTTGTTAGCATGCACACGCTGTCCTTGAATCCTATAGCACTCACTGCAGTTCTCTGCTTAGAACAGAGTCTTATGCTCTCTGCAGACTGTCCTTGTTTTGTTTACACCCCCAACATTTAAAGATGCTTCATTTATTGCAGCCTAATACTAATAAACGGCGTGTGTGGTGTGAAAGAAAGCATGACCACATTAGAGTTGTATCTGCAACTTTCCATTTATAGGTATTTATATCCGGCGTTCCACCACCGCGCTGCTGCAGATGCTGCCATGTCTCATTTAGATGGGGTGCCTTTATAACACAGATGTAGTGACATCATGTCTAAGCAGTGCTTGTGCAATTAGCTTTAGTTCTTATCCTGCTTAAAGCAAGAAAGGGGATTGCTTTCGAAGTTTTCTATCTAAAAATTTAATACAAGGACAAATTTTACAGTAAGGTTTATTTATATAACAAATATATGCAGATTGTTGAAGCTACTGTAGACATAAAATGCACCACAGTAGCCTTTACCAGGGATGTCCTGATTAAGATTACCCCCTTTAGATTATGCAAACAGTGAGAACAAAGCTTTACTAAGGCCACTTTGCCCTGAGACCTTTCTAGGTTATAAATACCATTATCTGAGATATTGGAACTGAAGAAAATACTGAAATCTTAGGTTTATTCATACTATAAGTTAAGCTTAACATGCAGCAGCAGCGGGGCAGTTTGAAGTTAGGTAGCAACCAGACAGAGTAGTGTCACCTTCACAAATACGCATAATCCCCTCAATCTTTTAGCTAAACTAAAACTGAGTCTGAGCTCATGCAGAACTCATATAAATATACCGAAAAATCTAAGCCAAGACACTAAACACCTTTACTTGATTAAGCCTGAATGATTTGTTTCATTTCTTTTTAAACTGTGATCAGACATCCTTATAATGCAATTCAGAGGAACAGCTTCCCAGGGCATTTCACTTGAACAAAATAAATGTTTGTCGTGTAAAAAATATTGTTAGTTTCATCATAAAACTCTTAACCACAATTAAAAATATACAAGACTGTGAATAAGAATTAAAACACGCAGTAAAAGAACAGCCATGAAAAACAGGAAATCATTTGTTTATTGGAAGACAATCTTAGAAGCAAAATCCAAACCCATAACACTAAACTGATTAAAATTGATTAAGTCAAACTCTTCTCTGTCTTTGATCAATTTCATCTTTTAACGCCTTCAAAACGCCAACGACAGATACTGGTTGCTCCCTTTCCCGTTCCCGGAAAGGAACATAAATTGTATTGCAAGATGCATGAAGAACCTAGAATGATGCTCTGTGTGTTGCTACAGGTTGCTTCCAGTGAAAATGGCTAAATACCTATAGGATCCAGAAGGAATGACATATCTCATTAGCCCTCTCGACTTATAACATTAACCATTAAAAAAGAAAATTGCTTATTAATGGTTGTTATTCAGTTTATTAAAATTTTATGATCGTCACAAATGGGCTCTGTTTGTTTTTATTTTACACTAAAATCTGGGACGACAACGGATGATGGCATTTAAGAAAAGCCTGATTACACTCTAAACAGCGCATGTTACAGAAATTCAAGGCCTTTTTTTTACACCTTACAGGACATGACAAGACAAGGAATGCAGTATTGCAGAGATTTAAAAGTTGACAATAGATTTTTTTTAAATCACCCTCATATAAGCCATACAGTGCTGCGAAACAGTTTTAAACCATGTTACATTTCTTCATTTGCCTTAAAGAAGTTGGACTTTGTTGTATTCTCTTCAAGTGATCATGATTAAAAGCTCTACAGCCTTCCTGATATTATGCCAAGTTTTTACTTTAGACGTTGGTTGCTTCTTTACTCACTTCCTACCAATAGCATGTACCTGACGCTGTGTACTTGGAAAAAACAGGGTGGGAAATCAAAAAGGTTTCCTGCTTGATTATCCACTTAACAGAAATGAATCCCTCAGGTTTACAACTAATATCTCTTTAAAAATCATTTGATTATTGTTAAAATATAGTTTTATCCACTTGGAAAATGCTTTTTTTCAGCCTCCTTTATTGTTTCATTTATATTGCTGGTCACAAGAGTGAAAGGAGAAAAAAGGCAACTGACGTCCAAAAAAAATAGCTCTTCAGAAATATTTGCAAGCTGTTCATCAAGACCACTTTGAACCAATACAGGAATACAGAAAATATGCAGCCTTCTTGGAAATTAGTATACAGAAGGAAAAATTTTCATTTTCTCAAGAAGCCATTTTTTTCTTAAAATAAGTGAATTTTTTCTTGAATTAAGGAGGCAAGTGAGACACTTTCCCGATAGAACAAGACAATTTACATTAAAAATAACAAAAAACTATTATATTTTCTTATTTCAAGTGCATACTACAGTATCTAATTATCTTATTTTAAGAGTAAAAAAAAACTCAATTTGCAAATCATCTTATTTACCTGCTTAAATTAAAGGTAAATACACTTAATTTAAGACATTTTTACTCATTTTTAGATCGTTTTTGCAGTGGAGACGTTTTGCTGGTAAAATCTATTGGCTGATTGAATCTTAAGTCTTAAATGTCAGAGCACTGTTTAGTAGCATTACACAGAGGATTTATAACAACACATTAAGTCAAAATAAATCAGACAGAAACAGTCCTCATGCTTCAGTTGTCCTTTTGAATCTCTGTTTTATAAAAAATAATTTCCAGTCTCAATAATCTTCATGGCACCCAGAGCATTTAGTAAAACATTTCTTTCATGGACTTCTTGCCATTTTATTGTGCAACCTTGTGCCAAGCTAAGGTCAGTTGACCACTGTGGGTAAGACGGGTCCTCTCCATTGGTTATTGCTTCATAGTGTTCTTGATGGTCCACCTCTGGCCAGAGCAGGGCTGTAGAACCAGCAGGTGGCCGAAGTAAACGTTGGCTGGCACCACCTCTAGACACCGTCCTGTAGCTCGGTTTATGATGGAGTCATTCTGGCAGCAGAAAGAGTGACAGATTGGTCAGGTTGGGCAGATGGGACCGTCACATGTGACAGCATGATAGATGAACCAGGTTTTGTAGCCGACAAAAAAATCCCACTTAATATTTGTAGGGTGTATCTTGGTTAGTTTTAAAATTTCTACTTACTGATATACTGTAAAAAGCGTGTTTTTTCAAAAGTCACATGCAGATTTAGTGAAACCATTGTTCATATTTTGTCATTTTTAGTATTTATATGTTTTAATCCAATTTAAAATATGTTACATGCAAAAAAAAAAAGGGTCTGCAGCGGATTTCTCTTCCCCAAATGCAAACATTACAACAGCTGTAATTATATTAACGGTTCCAGATTAAATGAACATCTTGAACCGTTGTCAGTAGCAGACCTCCCTCCTGTGTCTCCATATGTCAGCTTATATCTAAATAGGAAGCAGCATTTGAACACACCATACAGATTACACCTATCTGCAACGTATACCTGCACCAGTAAACTCATGGCAATGATATATTCTTGTTGCTCAGGAAGCTGTGAAATGATTTCCTTTCTTGATCTTTATGATGACATTTTAAGAAGCAACTTTTTTGTTGGTTTAGACATGAAGAAACAAAAGGGCTCAAAGTCCTTTAATGTCTGATGAAATAATTGTGTCTTTCTTGATGCGTTCTTCTTCTAAAGTCCATTTCTTCACCAAAAACAACGGTTTGATATTTAGTGAACAAATGGACCAAAATGTTATTTTTAATGTTTTTCCCACATCATTTCATTGCATTCGCCAAAATGAGTTTTTTTCCCTTAATACATCTGTAGCAGCCTGACTCATCAGCTGATCAACTGGAAAAAAAAATGCAACTTTTTTTTTTTTTTTACTTAATCATATTTAGTTACTTTAACATAATTCTTTCATGTTAGCATGGTAGGACATAAAACAATTGTGTTAAACTAACTAACTATGATTAAGTAAATGCCAAAAGTGGTTGCATGATTTTTTTCAGTGGCAAATGTGTCGTAAGGTTATGCAGAAGCATTAATTGCCATTGAGTCATTTTGCACCACTTAAACCAAAGGAGGATACACATCACTTTAACAGGGGTCTTAACCTCTGCAGTTTATATTTTAAATATTATATAAATATTGTAATAGCTTAAACTGCACATGAGAGGAGCAACTGTGGTTTGGGCTGATTTTAAAGGGTTTTTAAAGGGCTTATGATAATAACAAAAAGCCTTGCTGTTATTTTTTTAAAAAGACTTATAATTTCAATTCCATACTTAACAGACTACCTAAATGTCTTTCCTTAATATTCTGATCCAAAATGTAAAGTTTAAAGTTACGTAGATGTAATGCAATATCAATCAGTAACAAGAAGCATTATACAGAAGCTCTGTAGAAAAGGCTCGGATCTATATGATTGTCATTTGGTAGTTGGGTGTAATAAAGTACATCTCATTATTTTAAAGGGGAACATTAAGTGCCATATCACTAAGTCTGTGATGAATTTGGGGACATTAAATAGGAATCTGATAAAGAAGAACTGGACAGGAACTCAAGCATAAAGTCTATTGAATCTTCATGAACCTGTAACACAGGAGGAAACTGGAAGAGGGACCTGGTTAAGGTGTATTACAGCAGAGAAAAGTTTAAACAATCTGAATTAAATTTGGCAGATTATAAGCACTCAAAATTATGAGATTTTTTTATCGGTGAAACAACAAATTACAAGTTTCACTTTAACATCAAAACAGATGATTGAATCAGATTTTTCACCTAGATTTCTGAAGCATTGCTATCTTATGAGAAACACTGCTGAGATAAAAATTGGTGTCAAATATAGAATGTTTTTGTTTTTATAGAACTACTGCAGTATGTTTGTACAATTGGTTTAGACCAGGGGTGCTTCAGTCCTCAACTGCTACCATCCTGTAACTTTTAGGCTACGTTCACACTGCAGCCATCTTGAAAAGATTGTGTTTTTATGGTTGGGAAAGATGCGCTCCGGCACTACCATCCATGTTTACTTCCGTATGCACAGAGCACGCTGGCCTGTGACATCATTGCGTCCTCTATTGCGCGGGACACTTGAGTTGTATGACTGCAGATCGCACAGGAGATCACCAAAAATTCGCATATATTTTGAAATGTGAACGACAACGCAAAAGAATCGGATTTCACAAAAAAATTGGAATTGAGCGTCAAGACCTGCAGTGTGACCGTAGCCTTAGATGCATCTCTTCTCTAACACATCTGAATCAAAAGGCTCAATCTCCTCATTTAGCCCAGCGGAGGCATGCTAATGAGCCACTCATTTGATTCAGGTGTGTTAAAAATGGGGTGTATAAAAAAGTTGCTGCATAGTAGCTCTTGAGGACTGGACTTGAGCACCCCTGGTTTAGACATACCGTCTAAACCAATACTGAACTGTTTTCAGTACAACCACTTCCTTCCTTCTTCCTCACCTGAGAGAAGTCCCATGTCTTCTGCTTGGCGTTGGTGACTTTGTCACAGTTTAGGAGCTGGGGAAAGCTGCTGGTCTGATCGTCTACGACACAGCGAGTGTCCTCACCGGTGCTTCCCAGCGGACCCAGGAACAGCTGACCCTCTTTGGTGTAGCGTCCCAACTGTACAAAAAGAAACAGCATGGTAGGAAATCAACTCCATCCTACATAATGTAAAGTATTCATATATGTGAACCTTTCGATATTGTTACCATACAATATAATGTCCCCCCCCCCACAGATATGAGGTCATACTGGGATTAGGGCAGAGCCTCATCTTCCAGCAGGAAAATTACCCAAATAATGCAGCAATGGCCTCATGGTAAAGGCTTTGATGTGTGTACGAAAGGCTATCTTAAAGTTAAGATATAAATTGAACATCCGTAGAAGAACTTAGAATTGTGATGTTGACAGATATCTTCCATTCAACCTGCCTAGAACAGAGTTTTATTACAAAGAGGAAGAAGGATTAATCTCAGATGTCAGATCTACCTTTTACAGGTCTAGATACACAAAGCTGTGTATCTAGATCTGTACATGAACACAAAGGTTTAAAGCTGTAATTCCGGCACCAAGCATTGTGACGCAGGACTGAATATGAGTTCTCGCCACACTTTTTTGATTTTTGTATTTGTAAAACCACACATAAAAATTAAAGGTTCACCTCATGAGTATTGCTAATTATTGAAAATTACTAAAAAAAAATTTCCCCTGGAAACTTCGCTCAAATGTTCAAAATTTCCCAAGCAGCAGATGCTGGAGTTGAAAAAAATTAACTTTTGCTGCTCGACACGCCACATAAGCCAATCAGAGAAGCGGATCTGGGAGCTGGCAGGGAGACAGACACAGCACTGCTGATACAGAACGCTATGATCACTCCCCTGAAAATGTTTATTAATGCCTAAACTAACCTAAAATGTTGAAACCCGCCAACAAAATATGTTTGCTTTTATTATCCTGGTGCTTGCAGTTTGAGCCACATACATGAATAACGCTAACATTGACTTCCAGCCACCATGAACAGTAGGGAAATCCCCCAAGAAGCAACCGGGTCTGGGGCAGCAGCTGCTTGGGATTCCCAGTGACAGCGCACCGCAACACAAAATAACATTTTAAGACAGGATCATAATCTTGATGAACTGACTGCACAGATTATGTTTTCAGCTGGACTTTCTCACTTAAAAACATATCAAAACTACTTTTTACCCGCTTACAACAGCAAATATGGCAAAGCAGCTTTCTGGCATTGAACACAGGAGCAGCAGAAGCATCAGACGCATCTGGACACACTCTACTGGATGCGCTTCATGAGCGTCAAAGATACTCTTGACCTTAATGTGTACAAGAATCAAAAATTAAGAAGCAGATGATTTTTTTGCTGCACAAATCACGATGTGAACATAGCATTACACTTTCTGATTGCTTGAATTAACCGATTAGACATTATATTGTACCTAAAAATCCACCTCTAGTCAAGAACACATATTTCCCATAATCAAGACAAAAGTAGTGCTCAAAAATAAAAAACAATATGTTAGCTGCATTCCACCTCAAAATGCAGGAAATAGTGTTTCAGAGTCTACATTTCAAACTTTTCCATGGGGAGGATACCTCCAGACCCCCTCTATGCTGCGCAAAGCATAAAGATGTGATAATCCAAGGTTTACACCCTATGAAATATTCCTAGCTAAAAGCCTGTTTACAATGCTGTATTGCTCTGTCAATAAAATACAATAAAGTTAAGGTTGGAAAGATCTTAATGCTGTAATGTAAGAAGTAGCTAGCAGACTGAAATGCCTCAGTTGGCTTTAAATGTTATAATGTTTCAATGTTATAATAAAAAAACAAAAAAACAAAAATAGAACTGTGAAAAGGGCAAGTTTTGGATGATGAGTAACAGGAACTGCCCATCATCGCACAGACTTATTTTGGTGTGCTTTATACAAAATGAGTTGTTGTTGTTTCAGTGGATGATGAGAAACAAAACAAGTCTTTTGTTTTCCACCAGCTTGTATACAGCCACTGATGGAGTTTTTTCCTCTTAGTTAATGTTATCAACTATAATCTCTTCCTGAATCCGGTGTCCCAACCCAAAAGAAAAAACACCAGAGCTGAAAAAAATAAGCTCTGCTGTTTCTGTATAAAAATCTGTACCTGAAGTTGAAAAGTTGATTGAGGTAGATTTTTATTAAGTAAAATCAATGGGTAGCCGTCCTTCAGCCTTTTTACTTAACTGGTGATTCACACCTGAATCAATGGCTAAACTACTTCATTAGCAGCAGTCAAGCTCTACAGAGCTCTTCAAATGAGCTCATATTGAAATATGGTGTGTTGTATATAAAGATAAAATAGTAATTAAAAACAAACAATATGTCAATAGAAAAACAATTAAAATAGGACCTACTACCTGGGCTTTATTACAGGCTAACATACGCTCTAGAATTTACATGGTGTACAGTACCTTAAATGCACCACAAAATCTCTCAGTTTTCATTAAAAGTTACATGTTCTGTTGGACCTTATTAAAAAAAAAAAAGATGATGCTTGTTACTGATACAGTAAGAGAGCTCCTTTTTTTGAGGGAGGGTAGAATTTTCAGTTCAAGTTCAAATTAGATTTTTTCATTTTTCCGGAAGATGTATTTATGTTGACTTTCTCAAGGGAGTGTCATGATCTTCGAACTGATAACTGGCTTTATTACTCACTTTATTCACCTGTCTAATTCTGGCTCTTAACCACTGAGCCTGCCTGTTTCTGTCTGATCTCAGTGATGAGAGTGTTTTTAGCGTACCTTAATGTTTCGGATTACATGATCCTGACCTGTTCTGCCTCTCAACTACTGAACCTACCTGTTCACGTCTGAACGTTTTGCTTGAACAGTCTTTGAACTCCTGGATCTCTGAGCCTGCCTGTTCTGATCTGTTTGCCTGTCCTGTCTTTGGACTCCTGCTTGGTCTCCGGGGCTGCAGCATCTGGGACACTCTGGGCTGCGCCCGCCGCATAGTGTTCGCACCCCACCAGCCTGATCCTGCCTCGTTCTCTGGGCTTCGACTGAACTTGTAAATCCGGTTAGTGACTCACGTTCATAATATTATAGATTTATGTGGTCACTAACCTGTGTTTCTCTCCTGCAGAGTTCCCAGACTTAAATGTCCTAGCCGCAGCTACTCAGATGCGCCATTTTTTTAAATGCTTTTTGAGTAATCCCACTGTCTCTCTTGCCTGAATACTGGGTCCTTTGTTTTGTGTCTTGACTGAGAGCGCTCCAACAGGCATGAATACAAGTTCTCAATTCTCACCCACCAGTGCATCTATGGAAATGCCCCACTATACCTGAAGGAACTGGTCACCCCTCTCACTACAACACGATCCCGCCCCTCAAAACACTCAAACCACCTCCTCCACCCCAAGACTAAGCTAAGCACCATGGGCAATCGTGCCTTCTGCTCTGCTGCTCCTCGGACCTGGAATGCCCTCCCTGATCATCTGAGGGAACCACAGACTATTCAGACTTTTAAAAAAAAGGATTAAAAACATTTCTTTTTAGCAGGACGTATGACTTTTAACATTTTACAATTATGCTATTGATTTTATTCATAAGTGTTTTAAAGCGATGTTTCCTTTTAACATTTTGATTTTACCCTTCTATGATGATTTTACCTTTAGCACTTTGAGATTTTTTTCTAAAATGTAAAGTGCATTACAAATAAAATGTATTACTAGTATTATTAAAATTTGTTTATAGTTAGAGTTGACAGATTACTGGGTTGGGGGCATGCTGATAAAAAATATGAGAGATTCATTTGTGGCTTTGAAGATTTGAGTGAAAAGTCATTTTTAATGACAGACTCCTTCAGGAGGCCTTACAGAGGACATGCTTTGCTTGTGTTTCAGTGGTAAGGGGACTTAAAACAGTTGAAGACATATGGAAGGGTTAAACTGAACCATTAGAACCTTAATTGCTTTCTGAAATCTGATAATGATGAAATATACAGACTACCAGTATTTGGCATTGGCAGCATAAACTGTATATCCAAAGCTTCTGTTAAAAGTAATCAATAAATCAGTGTTAAGGCGAGGGGACTGCAGAAATGCTAAATAAATAATGAATGCTTTAATGTATTAATATTTAAAATGCAATAAGAAAAATGTTGCTTCACTGAAACCCCAACAAGATTTTAAAGGTTTGTGTGATTAGATACAGCAGGCAAATTCTGCCAACCCCTGAAGCTGTGAGCTAAACCTGGATGCCCAGTGGGCCTAAAGCAGCTCATGAGTTGACACCTGCTGACTCAGTACTTTATTGCAAAAAGTGAAAGACCAACATTTTTAAACTGACAGCAAAATTTTATCCCAAGAGAGTTGTAGCTGAGCCTCTCTGTGATATATGGCAGCAAAATGGTGAATAGTGTGTATCTAAAGGGAAACAAACCATCTAATTTATTTTTTATAGTATACTGTGTGTGTGTTGTACCTGAGGACCCCAGCCATGGCAGGGGTGAAGGGTGGCTGTGTGGTTTTCCTTCATACCCTGATCCATACACAAGTGGCTCACTTTAGAGTTACGGATCTGAAATAAACAAAAAATAACGCTTTCAGCCAACATGTACAGCTTTGCTATTAAAAGGTCAGTTTTTTGCATTGAATATAAATTTGTGAACCACGTAGTTTCATCGTTAAGATTGTATTGCTGTTTTCTAATCTCCCCTGAGATTTCTCCACTGGCTACAGTAAAAGCAGCTTTGACCTTCAGGATTTCTCCCCCTCATGTCGGTTTGAATGATGACTCACCTCACCGTAGAACACCGTGTTATTGTACCTCCTCATTTCTGGGTAAACGTTGTCGAGGTACCACTGGAAGCTCTTACACTGCAGACTTTTCCTCAGCGCCACCCTCTGAGAAACGTCTCCATAATCAATGCCATGGTTCTACAAGAGCACAGAGAACCCACTTTAAAGTAGGGCTGCGATCAACGGTTATTTCAATAATCGATTAATCACGATTAATCCGATTTATTGTTTCAACCCTATTTTAAAGCATTTCCTGGTAGGAATGGCCTGGTCTAAATTAATTTAATTAAACAGGCAAAACTAAAATTTGTATGTTTAGCAAACTTGGTGTTAGGAATTAACTCTGTAAAGGATATTTAGGTTTAAATAAAATGTCTTTTGATAATATTTTTTTTATATGATGATTGAATTTTAATCCAGCATTTATAACCATCTAACAGTGATGCAGTAGTTATTCACACTTTGTTTTGGTCTTAATATCTTCCATAGAACGAAGGTATTTTCTAGTGCCTGCTGTATGTAAGCTATCATCATCGTGTTTCTACAGCTTATTACTCACCTCCATTGGGATGTTCCAGGCCAGGTACACATTGGATTTGTACTCATCCATCCAGACCTCGGCGACTCGCAGAGCGTTGCGCCGGGTGTGGAATGCTATATTGCTGTGGTAGGGTTTCTTTATTCGAGCAATGTGAGCAACTCTGGAACAAGGCAGCACCTCCATGCTGCCGCCACACAGCCAAACCTGCAGGCAGAAACACACCGTTAGAAAAAAGAACTGCTCAGCAGATTGGCAGAAACATCTAAAGACATGTTCATAGTAAACAAAATGTGGTTAATAGTGGGCTGTTTGGATTTTTTATTCATCCTCAATTCTCAAAAATGTATTTGTTTCCTTAAACATGTGCAGGATAAGAGGCAACAGAGATATTATATGCTATTCAGTAGCAACAAAAAATCTAAAGGTAACTATTTATACAGATTTATTTTTCTTTTATCTCTAAGAATGTGCAGAAAGAAACTCTACACCCTTCCTGCTTCTATGACCTATTTATCTCTATTGGCTTGCTGTCAGCTGCAGACACAGGACTGGTCCTCCAGGACCCTTAATGGGGCCTCATTTATCAGTTATGCCATGCTACAGCGGCCACTGCTCCATTTAAACCTGCAGGGGTAAAGAGTGCTCAAGAACAAAAGGAAACTGGGTGACACACAAACCCTAATGCCCAGCTCGATGTTCTCCCCTCCGTAGACGTCCATGCCTGAGTCCAGCAGACCGAGTTCCCCGAAGTAATCCCGGTCAGCCACAAAGGAGCATCCAATCATTGCAGGAGTCCTGCAGAAAGTACATTTCCAAAAGAACATGCTTGATGAAAATAATTCAAATTTTAAATTGTGGAAAATTACTCTGCGAATGCAAAATTCATCCTCTGTTAATTATTAATCTTTTTTCCCAATTATGTTTTTATACAGTACAGGCCCTGCCACCCTGAAAGACTCGGACCCTTGGGTATAAAACATTTCTGCAGGATTATTTGTTGTCTCAAATTGGTTGGGGCACCAGCTATAAAATTGTGAATATTCTCAGAGGGAAAATGATTTGCCTTATCCCTAATTCTGTTAATCTGCTTATTGCTTTTTCTTTCTCTTAAATATATAAAAAAATTAAATTTTGACAGCTAAGCTAGCCTCATCTATCATACTTAGGATCATAAAGAAAACACCTCTTTTCATCCTGTGTTGATTTACAATTCATCTAACCTCCTTCCATGAGACTACAAACAAACAAAAAAAAAAACAAGAAATGCTTTAAAATTCTGTTGTGAGGAACAGCTGTACAATATGTATATTTGAGGAACTTTCATTTTCCATTTTTACTTCCCATTAAAATGCTGAAATATTTTAAAAGGGTGGAGTTGGTCGTGGGATACTGTAAGTACTCATTCCCTTTGAAATTATTCAAATCTTTTCATGCTGCAACAACGAAATTCAATGCATTTAAGTGGGATTTATGTGATTCCAATAAAGTAATGCATAATTAGTAAAGAGAGGAGGAACATTTTAATGAGGAGCTGCAACAGTGTTCAGCTTCTTTAAATTTGAAATGCCGGAATAAAATCCAATGCTACCTGTAGCCATCAGAACCCAGCAAACTGTTAGATTTAATACATCACTGTATAACTCAATATCAGTATAAATGGAGCTGGTGTGAAGACTGCATAGAAAAAAAAAAATCCAAAGCTTAAACATCTCTGTTCAATTCTTTTTAGTAAAATGGAGAAACTATGGTACAGCTGCAAACCTACCAAAACATGGATCTGCCTAAACAGAAATAACACACAAATAGGTGGGTCCGTTTCTCTGAAGGAGCTGCAGAAATCAGTAGCTCAGGTGGAAGAATTTGTCACACATTGTCTCTTGGTTACAATGTTTATGCATGAGGTAGAAGTAACGCATTAATAAAAGGAAGTGCAGGGAGTTCCTGTGTAGAAGCAGGGAGTCACAGAAAACACAGCAGAAAGTTTGGTCAGATGAGACAAAACTTTTTAAAATGCTTACGACAAAAAAAATTAATTGTGGCAAAAAAGCAACAACAAACAAACAAACAAAAAAAAAACCTCACAACACTTTCAACAGGAACTTGTTTTTCCAGCAGGAACTAGCAAGCAGGTCAGAGCTGGAGGGAAGATGGATGGAGCTTAATGCAGAAAAATAAGAAAGGAAAATCTGTTAGATAATGAAAACAATTGTGGGTAGGACTGAGGTTTGGCTACTAGAAGGATGCTGAATATACAGCCAGAGCAACACTGAAATACTTAGTCAGAGGAGACATACTTTGGTCCTTAAGAGCCAGTGTCCTGCAACTTTTTGACACGTTCCTGTTCCAACAAATCTAAATCAAATGTCTGAATTAGCTCATGTTTGTATATTTTCACAAAGATCTAATGATCTAATCAGCTGGTCGGACCCTTTTGGACCAGCAGGTGATAAATCAGATGAGAAGTCATGGACTTACTTTTAAAGACAAGGCCACATTCACCCATATAGATTAAATCCTACATTAGAGAGCCAAAAACATGTCTGAGAGGGTAAATGTTTGATCTTATTTCAGTTTAGGGGTAGCTCTCATGTTCGAGGGGAGAGGATGAGTTTCTGAGAAGGGTAGCTGCATGGACCACAAATGCATGCCAGATGTTGTACATTCAACCTGAAAAATTATTTTATATACCTCAAATGAAGCTAATTTTAGGGTCAAAAATTAAATGTGGAAATCAGTCCGAGGACTGATTTCTTAAAGGATATGTTTTTTTTTTTATCTTTTAAAACATGGAAACTAGAATTCCCTTCATATGTTTATGTGATTTTATAACCTAACATTTTTACAACATTTAAGTGAAATCCTTGCCTTATGGGAGCAGACAGGTCACCCTCGTCCCACCATTGCTTAGGTGGGTTGATGTACATGCACCAGAGTTCCCAGTTGTAGCCGTGGCCCGAGTTCTCATAACGCTCCACCTCGAAGGTGTCATGTTTGATGTTGTCGATGGACGGCAGGATGATCCGCTTATGGTCCTCTTTTATTCTGGCCAGCACAGGCTCAGCCCTGACCAGAGAACAGAAAGATATTAACACAATTACACTTCATATAAAAAAGCTCAAGTAAAACTTTAAACAGGAAACTAATTATTATGTCTCGTTTTAATGAACCCCATATGCTTAACTCAGCTTCTTTTCTGTATTCAGAATCCAGACTATAGCAGAGGTTGAGCCCGCTGATCCTCTGAGCGCTAATCAAATTGATTCTGTCATAGTCTGTATGACAATCTGATAAGAACGGCTAAATTAAATCCTCTGATATCACTGGAGGCGCCATCTGTTTCTTACAAGATGACTACAAATTTATTGATACTGGAAATTCTAGTCTGTGACCAACAATAGATGGATTTACCCAGCAGAACAACAGCTTCTTTATGAGAGCTTTTATTCTGGTCAGATGCAGTGTAGTGGCCAGAATCTCACTGAAGACATGTATTTGCCGCCTAAATATTTATATCAGATATAAGTAAGGGGCAGAAATGGAGCAAATACGAAGCAGAAGATGATTATCTGGACATTTATCTTCCTATTTAAAATGAGATGCTACCAATACAGTTGGCATCTTCTAAAGCAGAGAGCGGTTGAATAATAACAATTGAACTTTATTGATCTCACATTGGAGAAATTTACCTCTGCATTTAACCCATCCCCTTAGGGAGCAGTGGGCTGCCATTGTGTGGCGCCCAGGGAGTGGTGTGGGGTTAAGGGTCTTGCTAAGGGAGCCAGAATGGCAGCCCGTCGGAGAGGGGCTTGAACTCATAACCTCTTTAATCCAAACGCAACACCCTAGCAACTAGGCCGCGACTCCCCGAAATACACTATAGGTATCAAAAAAATTTAACGTCTACAGAAACTAAAACTCCAACTCACTGCATTATTAGCAAACATACACAGGTAAAAAAAAAAAAGAAAAAAAAACACACAAAAAAAACACAGTACTGTGAAAAAGTTTGATTTGCAACTCAGTTAAGAAAATTGTATTTCCTAGCCTTTAATTTGCACTACCAACGTGCTGAACTTTTAAATTCATTTTAAATTGGACACAACTCAATGTTATACTGCATTTTGGACCATATATATTTTGCACTGCACTGAACTTTTCCATATCAATGCCCTTATGCACCATTATTTTAAAACTGGTTGATTTTCTCCTACAATGTTACATTCTGATCACTGCTGTACTTTATGATGGTAATGTTAATTTCACTGCTTCACTGTTGCAAGCTGCTCATTTCACTGTTGTAAGCTGTATGCAACTGAATTTCGTTGTGTAGACAAAATGGCAATAAAATGTGTCGAAGTCTATTGCTTGTAATTTCAATACGTATGATTTACAGATAATAAAAATCCAAAAATACTGGAATATTGTGAAATGTTTAAATACTGGAAATTCAGAAAAAACTGAGTAAATATAGGTGGGATTTTTATTGGGATAAAAAAAGATATCAAACAAAAAATAAATACGAATTTTAAATAAAATGAGATAAAGACCTGTGTGAAATCTTATGTTTGTCATTAGGGAGCTGTAAATGTTTTTGAAATGTATCCCAGTACCCACCATTGGGGAGTAAACTCAACATGGGCATCAAAAAATCCAGTAACTTCTGCTGTAGCCACCTTCCAGCCTTCGATTCTGGCCCGGATCAGTCCTTCTCTTTTCTGGTTTCTTACTATCTTCACAAGCCCGGGGTAGCGCTTGTTCACATAATCCTCCAAAGGTCCTTTCAGCTGCTCTGTAGATAGAAAAAAAAAAAGACTTACAAAGGTCTGTGTATCCTGTGAAATGTGTAAGAGGAAGGTGAGCACATTTTCATCTCAGGATCCTCCAAACTGATAAGAGTCAAAATAAAAATGGTAAAATCTCTGTAATGCCAGCTTGCAAATAAAACATTTGCATATCAATGTCAAACTATCTAAACTCTGCTTTTTATTTGATACAATATAAAACAACTAAAATTGAACAGGATATCTGTCAGATCTATTTGACCTGTTGGTCAAAACCAAAACGATTCCATGACAACGTCTGTTAATGGGACAGCAGCATTTCAGATACAGCCCCCGCCTATTAGTTTAACATTTAAAAACTTATATACATATATAAGGTGTGAATTCTTTCATACAAATTACTGCCAGGACTGTTTTATCAGCAGAAAAGTAGCAAGAAGGAGGACAGGACTAATATTTATGTTGTTTTCTATGTACAGAAGAGCTGACAAACTCAAAAGGACCATTGGAAGGAAAATAGCTACCCTTCCTGGCCAAAGTGGTAAGATAGCTCTTTCTACTGCACTGAAAAAAACAAATCTGAGTGAATGTAAATGTTATGTAATTACAATGTGTAATATTAACAATAAAATGTTACGTTAGTATCTTTACATAATAAATCTGGTTTTGAATTCATCTGCATTTGCAGACAATGTGCATTTTTTCCCTTTACAAAATTAATCTAAGTAATCCCAGCCAATCTTTTGACATACACACTAACAACAAACAATACCTTGTTTCATTTACTCAGTATGAAAAATTGCTCCCCTTCCTGTTTTGTTGCTCTGGAAACCCAGTGCATTTCAAAGAGAAGAGCTACAGGTGTTGTTGATTTTACAGGGTTTGAGTTAGATCCCTCTCTTAAAGTTTTACAGTTAAATTTTCTCCGAATTCACTTTCTAGTTGCACTACTGCATTTTCTTATAGTGATGTTAAGAGAGTTATGTTTAACTTATGTTTAAGTTATGTTTGTGCGTCTCTTAATGAGCATTTGAAGGAAACATTACTGTAAAGAAGTGAGAAACACATAATTCATGTAAAATGTTTTGCACAATGTGAATATATTGTCATTTTATTGTTTTGTCATATTACGGTTAACCCTTGGCCACAGCATGCACATCTTGAAATGTATTGACTTGAATTTTGTGACTATAATTCTGACGAAAATAAAGCCTGTCAACTTTCACTTAATGAGCTTTCCTCTACCACCACCATGAAGCACAATTTTCTGTTGTACAAAATGTCTCAACCTGTGTGGTGTATATACACTATATTGCCAAAAGTATTTGCTCACCTGCCTTGACTCACATATGAGCTTAAGTGACATCCCGTTCCTAATCCATAGGGTTCAATATGACGTCGGTCCACCCTTTGCAGCTAGAACAGCTTCAACTCTTCTGGGAAGGCTGTCCACAAGGTTTAGGAGTGTGTTTATGGGAATTTTTGACCATTCTTCCAGAAGCGCATTTGTGAGGTCGCACACTGATGTTGGACGAGAAGGCCTGGCTCTCAGTCTCCGCTCTAATTCATCCCAAAGGTGTTCTATCGGGTTGAGGTCAGGACTCTGTGCAGGCCAGTCAAGTTCATCCACACCAGACTCTGTCATCCATGTCTTTATGGACCTTGCTTTGTGCACTGGTGCACAGTCATGTTGGAAGAGGAAGGGGCCAGCTCCAAACTGTTCCCACAAAGTTGGGAGCATGGAATTGTCCAAAATGTCTTGGTATGCTGAAGCATTCAGAGTTCCTTTCACTGGAACTAAGGGGCCAAGCCCAGCTCCTGAAAAACAACCCCACACCATAATCCCCCCTCCACCAAACTTTACACTTGGCACAATGCAGTCAGACAAGTACCGTTCTCCTGGCAACCGCCAAACCCAGACCCGTCCATCAGATTGCCAGATGGTGAAGCGCGTTTCGTCCATCCAGAGAACGCGTCTCCACTGCTCTAGAGTCCAGTGGCGGCGTGCTTTACACCACCGCATCCGACGCTTTGCATTGCACTTGGTGATGTATGGCTTGGATGCAGCTGCTCGACCATGGAAACCCATTCCATGAAGCTCTCTGCGCACTGTTCTTGAGCTAATCTGAAGGCCACATGAAGTTTGGAGGTCTGTAGTGATTGACTCTGCAGAAAGTTGGCGACCTCTTCGCACTATGCGCGTCAGCATCCGCTGACCCCGCTCCGTCAGTTTACGTGGCCTACCACTTCGTGGCTGAGTTGCTGTCGTTCCCAAACACTTCCATTTTCTTATAATACAGCTGACAGTTGACTGTGGAATATTTAGGAGCGAGGAAATTTCACGACTGGATTTGTTGCACAGGTGGCATCCTATCACAGTTCCACGCTGGAATTCACTGAGCTCCTGAGAGCGACCCATTCTTTCACAAATGTTTGTAAAAACAGTCTGCATGCCTAGGTGCTTGAATTTATACACCTGTGGCCATGGAAGTGATTGGAACACCTGATTCCAATAATTTGGATGGGTGAGCAAATACTTTTGGCAATATAGTGTATTTTATTATACTTGTCAGTTTTCACTATCAAATGACCAAAATGTCAACTTTATGTAATGTAATAACTACAATTCCATATTTGATGAGTACATACTGCTGACATTCTGTTTACAAGTACCAGTGTTGAACTAGTAAATAGTAGTAAAAGTAGTAAAAAAAAAAAAAAAAAAAAAAAAAAAGAACTATGTGTATGTATACTTTCTACGGAAAAGGATTAGGGCCACTGGAAAAAAAAAAAGTTAACAGATTTTTTTTTTATTTTATTTCAGTATAGTATGGTATAGTAGTATTTTTTCTCAGAATTCTGAGATTAAAGTCAGAATTCTGACTTTTTTATTGTCAGAATTCAGTCAAAATGTTGAGATTAAAGTCAGAATTCTGAGAAAAAAGTCAGAATTCTGAGATTAAAGTCAGAATTCTGAGAAAACTCAGACTTTTTTCCCATATTAAACTGAAATAAAATTAAAAAATCAGTTAACTTTTTTTTTTTCAGTGGCCCTAATCCTCTTCCATAACTTTCAGTAGAAATACTCAGTTGCTAATTAGAAAATTTGAGTACATGTAACTTTAAAGTACAGTAAATGTTTTTAAACAAAGTAGATCCAACTTAAATTTGTAATTTGGAAATGTAAAATTAAGTTGGATTTAGACAAAAGTACACATTTAGAACTTATGTAACTTAGGAAGTTATGTAGATCCAACACACAAAAAAATGACTAGAGCAATGCTAAAATTAAGTTAACTTTATGTGAAATTTTTATTTTAACAAACAGAGAAAATAAGTAGTTTCTACAAAGAATAATCTTGTTGGATCTAAGTAATGAAATTATGCAAAAAAAATAATTATACTTTTTAAATAAATCAAGCAGATTGTTTTTATCAGTGTCTCAGCACTATGGAAAGTGATTAATCAATAGATGTTTTGTTTATTTTTCTTTGTGTTGTTCAATTTTCCATTCTACTGAAAATGCTCAGACTTTACCAGAGGAAAATGGTCTGCCTTTGCTCATATTTGGCAACAACAACAACGACCCTGGGCCTTAAATCTAAGCCCTTTAGAAAAGTATAAAGAGCCAGAAGTCAAGGAAGGTAAAATAACAACCAAAAAAGTGATTTCACACAATAAAAAAAGAACCATTGGCCCTTTCTTTTCTTTTTTTTTTTACAACAAATTTGACATGAAACATTTTCTTTTTAAGCACTTCATTTCCTACAGTTAACAAGCATGTCTAGGAACACTTAGGAATCTGCTATTTTCTGTTTCCCTTCTTGCGACTGCCTTTCCTCAGCTGTCACTGGGCAAGAGGTGGTGGTTTTTGAGGTGTGAAAAGAGCGCACAAATACACAGTGAGTACATGCAAAGTCTGTGCAAAAAGACCAGACACTGGGATTCAAATCTGAGATGTTGCTGCAAGGTACCATTTTAAATGTCAGAAATTTAGTTTGATGTGTTTGTGATTACTGAAAGGTTTAAATCAATGTTTCCCAAAGTCTGGCGCTTGCATAAAGGTAAAGGTCTCCAGAGGATCATTTATGTCATTCTTATCTGTCATCCCTGCTGCCCTGTAATATCCAGTCCTGGCAAAGACATAAATTGAAGAAAAACAGAAAGATTCCCAACAAGTTTGCAAGAATTAATTTTGTGAGTGATTCATGTATACAAAGAAGAAAGAAAACTAAAATCTGCTTTCATATTCCCTGTTGTGTTTTTTAAGCTCCAACAGACTCTAAACAACACGAAAGGAAGTCTACGGCTCAACCTTTGATCCATGAATTAACTCATCAGCCGTTTCCCTCCGGAGTCAAGCACACCCTCTTCTTCTAAACCACCCCACCCCCGACTCGCCTAAATACACACACAAACTCAAGCATAACATAAAGACATTTCTCTCCTTGTTCTTATCTCTGTCTTTCTCTCAAATGCTCTTGATCACATAGTTGTTTTCCATCCTGTTTTTTGTTCCCTCATATAAACACACACACACCCACACACCATCATACACCGTACATACAAGCACACACCCACACATAGCCATGCAAACAAGGCCAAAATAGTAGTTGGCTCATTGAGGCAGTGAGAGTGATGAGTGTTATTATGTTTGTCTGCTTTGCCCTCTGAGCTACTGCAGTGTCTTTCTGTGAAGGATGGCTGGCTTTCAGCCAACCGGCAGCACAGAGTGAGGCAGAGCTGGTGGAAGAGAGGCTGGGCTGGCTCACTCTTTTTAACCATCCTTTCTGTGTTTCCTTTGTTAAAAGAAAGATCTACAACTGGACAACTTACGAGTGAGAGTGTTCTCTCTCTCTGCTCTTTCTCCAAACTCTGATGGGCCTTTTAAAAGCTTTTACATAGATAAAATATAATAATGATGTATATATATATATATATATATATATATATATATATATATATATATATATATATATATATATATATATATATATATATATATAAAGCAAGAACACTTTCACAGATTGCAGCTGTGTGAAAGCAAGATGACAATTGAAACAAGACCTTATCCGTACCCTTAAGTTACTATATTCCAGTATAGGCAGTTGTGTTCACATGACTAGACTTAAAGGCATTGTGGAGGATTTTTACAAATTTTTTAAAAGGCCCGCCCTCTCCACTTGAAAAAAAAAAAAGTGTACATGCCCAACCTTGTACCCACTCCCGAGAGGGAAAGCCTAATAAATGCGTGTGAGAGCATGCACAAGCCAATTTCTCTGCAGTTATTTAAAATGGATTTCTCCCATTAGCATGCCAAACTTTACTTGTCGAGTAGAAATTTCTCAACCGAGGCATGAGTGGGAAGTCCCACCTGTCCTTTCAGTGTATATCATTGTGTGAAAGAATCTCTAAAAAACATGTTTCTCTCTTCTGAGGCCTTTTTTTCTTCTCATACAATTCGCAGACACTTTTTCCTCTTATGACCCTCGACCATTTTCAAAGAACCGCAGTGAGAAACGCGAGCTTCAGTGACTCTCTGAAACCGTAGCTCACCACACATACACTTGCAAGCACACATGTGCACAAAAAGAACTGGGGACAACCATGTAGGACGGCCTTATGTAAAAATATCACCAGAATGATTGACAATTAGGAAGACCACATATTTTGATGATCCACCTGAAAAAAGAAAATCCTACACTACAGTATACCTTTAACTTTTACTTCTAAAAGCTGTCGCTACTGTATGTTTGTGTTTTTTTTTGTTTGTTTATAGTTACTATAGTATAGTGAAAATGTAAGTTTATTGAATATTTTTTTGCATTTACCTTTTTTAGTTGTCTTGGCAATAACCTGTCTTCTTCATAACCTGCAGAATTTATTGGGGTTTCTGTATCTTCACCATCAGCTTCAACCTTTTAGTATGGCAGTACCTTAATTAGCACAGCTGAGGGATGTTCTGTAGAGGTAAAGAGCACTGCTAAGTGTACAAATTCTTCAAGCATTGTTTACGTGCTGTGGTCTGTTTGGATACCCCCATACAGTAAGTCCAGTTGTAAAAGTTTGTCAACATCACAAATAACTGTTAGTTATATAACAAGTGGGAATGACAGGTTGGTAGCCAAAAAGTGGTCAGTCACATAAAATCCAAGAGCCTTAGCACAACATTTGGTGGAAAAAAGTCACTGTCAATGGCTACAGACCTTCCAACCTCATATTGCTTTAGGATTAGCTCAAGAACATTGCATAAATGCTTGATATGAACTCCAACCAGGGCTTACATCATCAAGTGCAATGCACAGCATAAGACACATGCAAACAAGCCTGGGTTTAACAATATGGCAACTGTTAGACTCCACTGTATCAAGGGGTTGGGCTCAGCCTATTAATTCTGGTGAAAATAACTTAGGATACTACATCTTACTAAAAATCTATGATAACTTCATGCTCCAGGCTTCTTTCTTTTTGCACAGTGCGACAAATATTTATTAAAACAGTTTTGGTTGTCTCCTTCTTGTTCAAAAGGGACTGTGTACATGTGCAAGGAGAGGGGTCCATCAGGACTAAGGACATTTTGAGTTTAGTGGTGTGAACCAGTCTGATAAAAACTAGTTTGGGATGAGATGGTGGAGACTGCCAAGCTACTCTTCCAATTCAACATCAGAATCTGAATTTACAAATATAACTTTTGGATATCGGCCACAAAGAAGCTTTTTATCTTGGGAATTCTCAGAGCTGAAATTGTTATGCCTTAATTACCTGTCAGCTAAGATAATAAAAAAGCCTATCAAGGACAGGTCGTTTTGTGTATCAGTAAGTAACCTTACATCACAGACCATAATAACCATGTGGCGTTCCCCAAGGCTCCATCTTAGGGCCCCTATGATTAGATTAGCCCGGTTCGGTTGTGTCTAGCATGGTCCAGTTCAGTTTTGCATGCCATTTACACTTAACAATTATCTCGGTTACCGTGCTCAGACCAATCTCGTCATGGTTTCAAAAGGTATTACAAATGTGGCTTTTCTCTTCCACCTAGACCTTCAGGTCTTTTGGGTCTTGTCTACTTTTCAAATCCAGAAACAGAACCAATCATAGAGAAGCATGAATGTTTGCACTACTGAATAAAGGGCTGTTGCTTTAGACCTCTTTGTAGGATTTATTAAAAATATATTAAAGGCATAATTTCATCCTTAGCCCTTACTGCCTTGACAACCTTGTGTCTTTTTCTTCAAAGTCATCTTCCCTCTCCGTTCTGGTAGATTGCGGCTTCCATTTCTTTCGGATATGCATAGCCTGCACTGCCTGCCAGTCTGTCCGACCTCATTTATCTCATGGCCTCTGTCTCTCACCAACCCACCCCACCACCGCCTCTTTCTCTAATAGTCTGGTTTGTTCTCACAGCTCTTCCATTATTTCATGCTTCCTCCCCTCTATTTCTCTTTTTCCCTGACCCTTCTTCTTAATTTGCCTTTTGTCATTTCCCCTAGCTCTCTTCACTCCATGGCCTTTTCTTTCATTCGGTTCCATCCCATTTCTTTGTCTTCTTTCTGACAACTCCCAGTATTTCTTGTGCTTTTGGTCTGCCTTTACTTTGAAAGATTTCATTTCCGTCCCTTCATCTTAGCAAGCCCTGTTTCGCAGCCAAGCCCAATAAATAACACAGGTACATCTCTCCTTTGGGATCCTATTGAGATCTCTGCTTTTATCCACCTGAGACAGACAAACCAAAATAAAATCCTCAAAATCAAGCAAACAATTATGCTATCTATAATTAACAAAATTATTTTACTTTGCCATTTGAATGATATTTTGGATACTCTTGTGTGAAAAAGTGAAAAAGACAGAGGTAAAATTGATTAATCTTTTATAGCCGTAGCATCATCCTGAATTCAACATATAAAAATCTGCTCTTTTATTTAAAGGTCATAGCCTTCTTTTATAAAATAAACATCCACAGCTTATCTAGAGAGCATAAATATATATTAGATCAAATGTTAAGATATTTCGATGGTCCCCAAATACTTAAATATTTACTCCTGGCCACGATGCCAACGTGATCGGGATTCTGCACCAAAATAAATAGTAGGTTTACGTCATCTGGAACTCAGGTGTTAGCGAATTGTTGTACTGTTGCTCTGTTACAGACCTAAGAGATGTCTTCTTCTCAATGTTACATTTCTGTAAAACTCAAGAGGGCCAAATAAAGAAGCAAAACGAGGGTGAAGATCAGTCAAAGTTGGCGTTGACTTATGGAAGGAATCGGGCTCAGAGGCCATGTGGAGGTTACCACTTATCTCCCAGACAGGTATGTTTGATAAAGCTAAAGCCAGACATACAATGTACCATTTTTTGGGCTTTTTGGGCCGATTCTCCAGTCGTGCGAGAATTTTTCGATCGGGCTCAGTTTCAACCTCCTCGTTCATCCTGCATCGTGAAGTATACAGGGGGTAACAAGGGGCGATCAGCCTCTCGCGACCACCTCCCAATCAGGAATCATAAGGTCAAGAGAAAATCAAACATGTTTGAAATTCAGTCGGCCATCGTAAGGTGTTCGTAGGCAAATCGTGCAGTTGAAGCAGAGCTACGAGCCGATTTACCAGAACCTTGAGCACTGCACATGCGCAAACATGGGAGTTCTTCATCCTCTTCTTCCAGAATGACGAGTCCGACCAGCTCCATCTCTCAGCGTTGAGTCCAATGTGTGGTTTTTAGGACGTACAGTGTGAGCAGGTAGATCGCATCAGAGCGTCAGGCCGCACAGCGTGAACTTTTAAACACTGCGGTTTCATCGCACAGTTTGAGCTGTAGCTGCGTGCAACGATTGAAAATATTGCATAGTGTATGCCCGGCTTCACAAACAGTCAGTCAGTGCAGACCTGTTGCTACAGGATTCTTGGGTTTTTCTGCATGTGAGTTAGAGTTAAAGGATTCAAATGTGTTTATAAATGTCAACACTAGAGCAGCTGGTTTAATTTCAGTTAGGGAAAGCTAATCATCTTCTTCTTGTATATTATTGCGTGTACCAAGACCATCTTTAACAACTCTGACTGGTTGTCATGGTAGCAGATTGTGGGGGCACGGCCTTTTGGGACGACAGGGGTGTGGAAAGCTAATACAGCCCATCCAGAGGAGTGCTGAATAAGGATATTCTGAGAATAATCTCAGAAGAAGTTTCCTGTAGAAACGGCAAAAACATGCCCTGGGAGCCTCATTGTTAATATTTTTTATGTTCAAATGTAGAATATATAGGACCTTTAAACTAAACTAATTCATTAAAAAAAGGAAGGAAATTATCTTCCTCTTTTGCTATAGGTGCCAATAAAATGTTTTATTTTTTTATTTGCAACAAACGATTAGAATAAAGGTAGCCTAAAATAGGGGTTTATTTCATAGGTTCTTTTAGAAGTGACTGAACATATTATCAAATGTTTTTGCTTCCATAAATATACCAAAAAATAAAATTAATTGACTCATATATTTAGCGTCACTTTTGGTGCATTAAAAAAAAAACATAAAATCCGATGGTAAAGTTCTTTAATTCTTACTGACCGTCATCGCTGTTGTCGTCCACCAGGATAATCTCTTTGAGCAAGTGAGCTGGCGTGTGATTGACTGCTGAGTGGACAGAGCGTAGGATCACTGACAGGGCTTCGTTGACAAAAATGAAGATAAGGGAGATCTGGGGGAGGTCTCTGGGGTAGCTGACTTTTCTACATCTGGTAAAAGAAAAACAGAGAGGCCATATTGAAGAAAAACTACACATTATGCAAATGTTCACCCTTCAGTGCTGCTTTAAAACATAAAACCTCCTCTGTCTTGACAAGGGAAGGCAAAACGTGTGCAGCTTTCTCTGCAGGCTTAATCACATGGGTTCTTTTTGCTGTATTCACTGTGTGTTTCTGCTGCTGACAGGAGGCCTATTTTCACCTCTGCTCAAACAGCTCTAATGAAGAGCAAAGAGAAAGGCTGATGCTTTAGCTCTTAGCGCTGCACATGCATAATGTCTTCCTTTACTTTCCCATGTCAACCCACTTTAATCAATAATCGGATTTCCCTTAGGAGATTAAATGTAATTCGAAGTAAATAAAAAGTAAATCCATGGATTTAGTTTGAATCAAGCTTTTTGTTTTTAAATGAGGTTAAGACAAAAATAACATCCAATTAGAAGATATGGTTTTGTACTACTGAGCATTTGGGTTCTAATTCAAAGGAAGGAACCATCGAACATCCAACAGCCAGTGCAAATGGGGTTGAAGGAGAGGTATAACAGCAGAGTCCTTTAAGCGGAGAAAGGTGACACTGAGAACCACATTCTGGTTCATAGAGAAGTAAAACAACAGGATCTGGACTACATGAAGAATGTTTTCTTGTTTTCTTGGAGTCAGAACCTGCAGGACTTCACAGGCTTTCTTGTCTGTAAAGTCCTGCTTTTCTTTCCTCTACCAAACTTTACATTTAGGTTAAGTGTTCGAAAATATGTGAATAAAATTTACATTAAAACACTGACATAACTTTGAATACAGTTAAAAGTTATTTTAGCTATGATGAAATAGAACAGCAATCTTAAACTCCTTTAAATATCTATTTGTAAGTAAAAGCTGTACCTAAAAAAAACTCAACCAGGGCTTGATCTGCTTCTATTAGAAAATAAATTGGTGATTGCATCAGATTGGAAAAAACACGTCTAGTGTTATTGTTAAAGGGCAAAAATCAAGCGAGTTAAAAGAGAATATTTAAAGCTCTAGTTAGACCATGGAAGGCAGTAGCTGCATCTGGAAATCCAGGGATTCTGCCAGCCACATTCATTAAAAAAGGCTTTTTAAATGAAAGGACTGATAGGATCAAGCTATTTTCATTAAGACAGAACATCTAACTGTAACCAGACCTTATTAAAAATCATGAATTATTATAAAGAAACTGAAGATTACTGCAGTTGTGAAATCAACTTAATTGTTCTAATGTTAAAAATAGATTTTTCTTTACTAAGAAAGTGATAATTAACAATAAATTCAGAATACAGTGATATGATGAGTTAATCAATATTATTAATACTCTGTAATTCTATGCTGTATTTGCCTTTTGCTGCAGTGGCTTAATTAGCAGCACCTTTTCTTTAAATTCCACAGCCTTAGCACAACTCAGAGTCAACATGTATCCCATACATGTGCCCCTACTACACAGCCCAAATAATAATTACCTAGTAATAACATTTATTTAATATTAACTCTGTTCAATAATAATTGCCACTGCATGCACTCAGAGTACTAAAATGGCATACTCTAAATCATTAAGATCTATTTTTATATGAAAAAGTATTTATCTATTTATTACTGCTTCCTTCTGTCCAGGAAACAGTGACCTTACAAGGTTGACAGGATAAAAATAGCATTAAATGACTTCACAAAATGTGTTTATATTACAAATAATGAAGCACAAGAGATGGCCAAAGTATGAATAAAAATGAGAAAAAATCTAAGGACATATCCCCAGTATAATCGAATATTTAACCAATAAAAAATATTTGCATTTATATCTTTAACGATTTAGATCCTAAGATTGAGGATTTGTTTAACTGTACTTAGTGAACCAACTTTCGCTGGGTAATATTGTAGCTGATACATAAAGGGTGATGTCGGGGACATTTTGTGAATGAATACAAATACTTTAATTTTCTGGATATTTTAAGAAATAAGATGTACAGGAGAATCACAAGGATAGCACTAAACACTGACAATCCCACTATAAAATATTACCTATACTGTATTGATGAATGAAACTGTTGAGGTTTGTGATTAAATATATATATATATATATATAGATATATATATATATATATATATATCTTCAAATGGATATATATATGTATGTATATAAACGCATGACTTAGTTCTAAAGAAGAAAACATATCTGCTTCACTTCTTTCGCCAGCTACTATGTGAATTAAAAGAGAGGGATATACCTTGAAGAGCAGGGATAGATGGGAAGTTCAAAGAATGTAATCTAGAGTTGAATAACCCACTTAGATTTTCTGGGGGTTGTAGCATTGAAAAGTAATATAGAACTGCACAATCCTTGTTAAACAGGATTAAAGGATTTTCGGAGCAGATGAAGTGTCTGCTGAAGTTGAGATCCAATTAGTACACCACACTGTCATTAACATAAAAATTCAAATTAGTACACAATCCTCCAAGATGAAAATTAAGTATATATTAGGGGCATAATAATAGGCTTGGAACTCATCACCTTTGAACATATTAATGCCTCATTTCACACCGAGTTCTGTTGGAAAGATAATTTTTTAAACCACCCAACCAGCTGTTCTGTAATACAGACATTAATACATTTTGCAAGCGCATGTTCCAGATTGTCGAAAGTGTGTAAACATTCATTTAAAAGTCTGCAACAGTATTTTTTTACAGTCTAAAGCCTCGATAAAAGTCCACATCATTGATATGAGGGAGCTGAGTTTGAAACTGGGAAGTCAGGAAGGGTATACAGCAACAAAACTCTGCATTCAAGTTGTACTGACTTGTATCAGCAACTCCTGAATAAATGAGCTGCCTGAGATCTTTTGCCAAAAGGCTTGCTGTTTTACTATGAACTTTTTATAGGCCAAGCTTAACAAAATACAATGTCATGATAAATCTCACACTCCTCAACTGCTCAGTAACAAGAGACTGAAAGACTTTAGCAAGAAAAGACAATACTAATATAGGCCCTATAATTGTTCAGGTCTGCTAAATCGACCCCTTAATGGAGCAGCAGAACAGAGGCAGATTTCAAAATGGAAGGAATCTCATTTGTATCCAATGAAAGGTTAACAAGAAAAGTGAAAATTGGAGCGATAAGCTTAACTGAGTGTTTTGAAAGGTGACATCATGGGAAAAGTAGCATAGCTTTTCACAGCTCCAATTTCAACAAAGCTTCTATTCAGAGCAGGTCAAAGTAAACCATACCTAGAGACATGACAGGAAAGGAAAGCTTCCTCTCCATTGCTTTGAGCCCATCCCTTAGGGAGCCCTGAACTGCTACACTGAGTTATGCATAGGGAACAATCTAGAGTAATTTTGTCCAGGGTCCAAGAGTGACAGTCTGAGTTTCAAACCAACAATCTTTGCAGGCTCTCAAGGATGCAAACAACCTGCTTTCTAACCACTAGGTCATCATCGCAGGACCCCAGAAAGACTAGCTGTTTGCCATGGCAATAGCTAATGGGGATCGGCTGTTCCAACCATTGCATTTCCAAATTCTCCCGAGTGGTCAAGGAATTTAGACGAGTGAATAAAGTGAATGTAATTGGTCATTTATTAAGAGGGTTGGATTGTTTTTCTGGAAGATTCGCAAGCAACCTTGATTGTGACCGGTTTCTTCGAAGCATCTTGCTAACCATTTAGCAACTTAGCGCTAGTAGGTTCCCAATGGGAAATTACATTGGGACCAAGTAGCACTTAGAAATGATACTGTCAAGGAACGTTATGGACAGCGGAAACATGCAGGAGGAGGAGAGTTTTGTGACGGAGGTCGTTGATGAGTCTCCTCCATCATACATTTTATATTTAGAGGAGGAAAGCGGGGATGAAGATGTTTCGAATAGGACGCCAGGGCGGCAGAGGCTTGGTTTGGTGTAGAAGGCTTACAGCTGTACATGTTTGAGCCCTTGCTTCGCAACGCTTCCAGTTCTGTTAGCTCTACCCCTGCTGAAGACACAGACATCCATACCCGTGAACACTGGGACGGAACTCAATAGGAAAGTAAATTATTCTTATTTCAACCGTCGCGTATATTAGCTGCGACATATGAATCAAGATGCTATGACTGAAAAAAATGTATTGACAGATGACCGTTGATATATGATTGGCCAAATTTAGGTGTACAAGCTGACATATAACTAACTGGCCTGCATAAAATAATGGGGGGGGGGGGGGGGGGGGGGGAACTGATTTTAAGACAGGATTTTTTTCTTAAATAGAAATGTTCTAAATTTTGGGACAATATCGTCTGATAAAGAGTACATTTATATACATGTTTAAGCCAGATTGATTTGACATTTAAATATGATTTCCCTGTGACTTTAAAAAAATCACCAAATTACCTCCTCTGGAATTGCTGTTTTTTCTCATATTTAGATTCTTGTTACAAACATATGTATAAACAGTATGACAGCATACTGGAAACACATCATTAGAGCCAAAATGCATTGATCCACCTGAATCCTGACGCAATCACCAACTGCACATTAGTGTGCCTTCTTTTGATTCATCAAAAAATTATTGCCAGACATTCTGCTGTTTATCGGCACTCTGAATGTCCTGGTGGTGGCTCTCAAGGGATAATTACACTCCTTCAGTAGAGTAATGGTCTCCTCCCAGTGGGACATATCCAACTAACCACCAAAAGGAGGAATCCAGCATGTACCCTGATTAGATGACAGGGGTTCTACTTCTACTTCAACCTCCAATCAGTGTGACAAAATTCCTTAAGCTACCTCAAACATGCCTAGCCAGGCAGTGATTAAAGCCTTTTTTAGCCTCTTTGATAAAGTATCTTGGAAAGATAGATTATAAAAGGTGGTGAATATTGAAATGCAGAATGGCCAGTAAACTGTGAGATCTGCCTTCCAGCTCAGACGTTCTTCAACAAAACAAAGTGCAGCAAAGACCCAATCATAGCAAACAATATGTGTATCTCATCCCCCATCCTATCATCCATGTGAACA